TCACGAAATTTAAACCTAAGCCTCAAAACATATAGAGTAATGCTATGTATACATAACAAATGTACATAGAGTTGTACATAACATTCACATAGAGTAGGGTCCATTTAATTTTAATTTTTGGTGTGTCCCACTCAATGTGAGTGTTATGTACACTTTTATGTACAATATTATGTACATATAGCATTACTCAAACATATATATAGAATTTAGCAACTTAGATACGGATTTTTCTGATAATCTTTCAACAAATTACGAATTTGTAGCCATTTAATCCAATAAATGCACAATATATAGTATCTAGCTCAAAATCCTCACTTAGCATTTTTATAATCAACAATAATTGTTACTTAAGGCCATGGGGAAGGAGTTTCAGCGATATATCTCTTGAAGGGTTCGAAATAAAAATAAAACTCGAGAAAGACTAAGAAAATGGATTGGCTACTTGAAACCGAGTCGTGAGCTGTTGGTTCGGGTCGGATCTTTCGTGGCTGGGTACAAGTGGCTCGGATCTGGTGCGGATCAAGACTGAGCTTGCTCGGTTGGCCTTGGATCTATGGTGGCGCGTGTGGGCTTGGGATTGTATGGACGGTGGCGTTGAGAGCGTACAGACGCGGGCCTGTGCGCGGGGATCTGGTGGCATGCGCATGTACAGGTTCAGGGGGCGGGCAGATCGGGTAGGAATGCATCGTACGGACATCGGGCGAGTTGGGCTGCTGGGAACAACGTTCGAGCTTATTGGGCGAGGCATACGGACCGGTGCGAGGCTGGAGCAATGCGTACGGACACTTCCTGAAGGTGAGTTGGCTGGGACCTGTGCGTACTGATGTGAACACGACTGGGAATGTTGAGCTGCGGGCTTGAACGGAGCAGCGACGTGCGGTCACGGCGACTCGCGTACGGTCACTTGTGCAGCGTGACGACGTACGAACACGAGTTCGCGTGTTCCAGTCCGGCGTACAATACAGCGGCGGGCTTAGGAGCGTGAAGGTCGGGCCCAGGCTCGTGATGGCGTTAAGGTCTCGTGGTCGCCGGTGGCTCGAGGTCTCGTCGGAGGGTGGCTGAATTTCTTGTAAAAAATTTGATGTGTGGTGGAGATGATGAATATTGAAGATGTTGGGCTAGGGTTTGCTAATGGTGTGCTTGGAGGGGAGGATGAAGTATTATAGGTGGAGTAGCATTAGGGTTTGGTGTGTCTTATTGGGCTTAAGCTTGGCCTTTTCAAATTGGACTCAACATATTACTCGACTTGGGCATGGAAAATTAATTGTTACTTGGGCTTGGTTAAATTTAAAATACTACTTGGTCTCGGAATTAAATTCGATACCTCGAATTACAAAAATGGGCTGACTAATTAAAATGATACTCGATTTAGATAAATAAAATATTCGACTATGATTAAAATGTCTCGATTAAATAATTGGGTCGGCTAGCCAAAATAAAACGGCTCACTTAAATGGGCCTGAAAATGTA